TTATCACTGTGAAGGTTTCTTTTGTTGGTAATATATACCGTGGTAAACATCAACACCATTCAAGTATACTAATGTTGTATAAGATATGTAACGACTACCAACTTGATTTTAAGGATATGGCGAGTCTTAGAGACATCGGCACTAAAACTTATAATACAGCAAGATAAGTTTGTATTGACTTTTCTAAGATTTCATCCCGGTGGTATGAAACCAAACGTTCCTGTCAAAACTATGCCAGGGTTACTACCTTCAAATTGATACAACATTTTTTGCGGGTTGCAATCAAAAGATCATCGTTGATATTGTGATCTCGAAAAGCAGGAAAGTTCTATTCTCTGAAAGTGAATCTCCATGGGTTTTCCTCGTGATAAATTACGGCGTTAGACAAGGATCAGTTTGCTTAACAATAACTTATTATTTTACAGAAATAAAATTTTTACCATCAAAGAATGTAAAATCCTACAAATATAAATGATTTAAATAGCGCATGGGGGAAATTACAATATACTTATCCACTACCATAAGATGTGGAGAACTGGTTGTACTAGTCTACAATGGTGACATTCAACGATGAGACGACATCGTTACCAGTATGTTAGGTGCAGTTTGATGCGATCATAGTTTGTTTTTCTCTAAATAACTTAACCAGTACAAAATTCTAAATAACAAATAATATATGGGGTAGCCGTCAAGAAACTTGTATATAGCAGCAATATGAACATATAGCAATATGTCGCTTACTTCTAAACAGGTGTCTGGCACATGTACAAGAAATTTTTCTCAAAACTAATGTATGCAGCCACCAATAGTAGAAGGGACACTCTTGGGGTCAATGGGAATTTGACCTTATATTTCATCGATATAGGATATATTGGCATTTGACAGTTTGTCGTGTCACGTATTATATCAAAGGTCATTAAACATTATGACTAGGAGGATAGAGTACCGTATCAGATTTTAACATGCAGTTATTGCTCTCTCCGAGAAATTTAATTGTACGGATGTGATTATTCGTTCGGAAATTAAAAATGCAGGCTGTGAATAGCCTACTATGATATTTTTTAAAGGAGTCTGATAGACTGAGGATTACGGTGGAATCTCATCTCCATTTAAAATGGGGCATGTACAATCACCGTTTAAAAGGAAAATTAAATACACGGATGACAAGACTTCAGATCCTATGTTCTGTCGCTGTTTCAGTCTTTAAAAACATTGTAAAAGATGAATAAACTGGTTAGCTAATATTAAGTAAAAAGCAACTTTTATTTGTTAACAATGTGTAGGTAGTGGTTAGAGTGTCCGCCTCAGATGCGGGTTGTTGTGGGTTCGATTCCCGGTTGAGTCATACCAAAGACTTACAAAAATGGTACTTACAGCTGCCTCGCTTGGCATTCAACATTAAGAGGTTAGTGTTAGGAATGGTCAACCTGGCACGACTGAAGGCAATGAGCAAAGTAAGGAAAGCAACCATTTGGGACATGCTCTTTGCAGATGCTGCTGCTTTAGTCACTCACACAGAAGCTGAACTGATGGACCCCTTTGCTAAAGCATGTGATGAATTCGGGTTGACCATCAGCCGAACCATTCAATATCCACAGCGGAGTGAAACAAGGCTGTGTCCTTGCCCCCACGCTCTTTGGCATATTCTTCGCTGTCCTGCCTAAGTACGCCTTTGGGACGTCCACAGAATGGATCTACCTGCACACGCGTTTAGACGGCAGACTGTTCAACCTGGCACGACTGAAGGCAATGAGCAAAGTAAGGAAAGCAACCATTTGGGACATGCTCTTTGCAGATGATGCTGCTATAGTCACTCACACAGAAGCTGAACTACAACGCCTGATGGACCGCTTTGCTAAAGCATGTGATGAATTCGGGTTGACCATCAGCCTAAAGAAAACCAACGTGATGGCTCAGGATGCAGACCCTCCCAGCATAACCATTAACAACTACAAACTAGAAGTAGTTAGTGTGTTCACTTACCTTGGCTCTACCATCACCAGCAACCTCTCACTCGATGCTGAGCTCAACAAGTGGATTGGAAAAGGCGTCAACAACTCTCTCTAGATTGTCAAAGAGAGTGTGGAACAACAGCAATCTGATATGAAACACTAAGATCTCCGTGTACCGTGCCTGCGTGCTTAGCACTCTCCTGTATGCCAGCGAAACTTGGACCCTGTACGCCTCTCAGGAGAAACGACTGAGTGCCTTTCACATGCGTTGTCTCCGTCGCATACTCGGGATCACCTGTAGCGATCGTGTGACAAACAACAAGGTGCTTCAACAGGCCAAAATTCCCAGTATGGTCACACTCCTCCGCCAACGTTGCATCAGATGGCTGGACCATTTTTCATCGAATGGATGATGGACGGATCCCCAAAGACCTTCCCTACTCTAAGCTTGCATCAGTCAGAAGATCAATAGGACGGCCACATCTTCGCTTCAAGGATGTCTGCAAGCAGGATATGAAAGCTCTTGGAATAGAGGTCAACACCTGGGAAGAGCTTGCCCTCGACAAGTCCAGCTGGCGACATGCTCTGTACACAGGTCTGAAAGCCAGCGAGGAAAAGTTACGACAGCTCGCTGATGAGAAAAGATCTTAGAGGAAGAGGATGCAGTTCCAACCAAGACCTGAATTATACTTCAAGTGTAGCAACTGCAGCAAGGATTGCCACTCCCGTGTGGGACTATATAGTCACAGAAGACGCTGCACAGCTACAAACTAGGACACCTTTCATGGACGCATTTCCATCGTCTCTCAAGACTAACGGAAGCCAACCATATCAGATGGGGATTTTCCACCATATGCTACATTATATCAAGCCGATCAATCAATCATTAAGTCAATATCTCGGTCTCAGGTTCTAACATATTTTCGTTGCGATCGAATGGCTGATTCCTTCTCATGTACACAATTTATACTGCACTGGTCTTTTCTGTTGTTGCTGATACTTAGTTGAATTCAATTTTAAATATGCTGTATAATTCTTTCGTGGGTTTTTTTTGACTATGTTTAATCTTAGTCATTCTTTTCTATATTATTCTCAGTACCTGGTACAATGATGTTTTGGGATAGTTCTAATTAGTATGGATTGAATATATTTTCTTGCTTGGGTATACGTACTTTTCAAATTCTGGAACAGTGCATTTATGCTCTCTAAATTTAGGATACTATCATAGCTGTTCATAGTATATGAATAAATGTGATGTCACGTGATTATACAAAAATTATAAGATAATTAGCAATACACGTATCGCTAATTTGATCAGTTCTGTCTCTGTGTATGTATATATATATATATATATATATATATATATATATATATATATATATATATATATATATATATATATATATATATATATATATATAAAGTTACACAATTGCAATCACAATACAATTGTATTGTTCTTACACTATATGAAATGATGTGCCTAGAAGTTTGCATTTCAAGAGTTGGAAAAGAGACTCAAATTAAGTACATACTATTCTCACACTTAGGAGGCGGCTATTGGCCCACAAACTGAGAAAATATAACGAAAAATATCGTTGTTTGCAGAAAGAGTGAATTTGAAGTTTACACATGCTAAATTGTTTATTGAAGGGCTGTTCGCTTCCATTTAAGAAAACAATACCACTTTCGTTAACATAATGGAACCATAGGTTATACGTTTAACTGGTAGTTCTGCGGGGCAAAATGATATGTAACGCCTTTTTATAAGCTAATACCTGTTTTACTGTTAGTTTTACCATACCCTTGTTTAATACCACACAAATGTTATTCGTATGTTAGTTTCAGTTTGTTAGTTTCAGTTTGAACTATTTCTTTGAACATCACAATGATTTTGATTGTTGTTTGTTGTAAAAGCGAGCCATCGTCGAGACATGCCAAAATACGGCCACACTTTCAGGATTGATCATTGTAAGTAATGTTTGTTTTTAATCTTAATTGCTTATTAAACTTGTTATATATTAGTGTGTCTAACTATAACTGACCACGCCGGATTACTGCCCCAGTCAGCAAGAGTATGTGTCAATTGATAATCTGGGTTTATTGCACTGAAAAAATAAATTTTGGAAGCTTTCAGGATTTACTGATATTTAAACGATATGTCCTATGCTGCCAAACAGGTATTGACCAGACCAAGCGACGAGGGCGTCCATTGGGTTTTACATTCCTTTTGAGAATTATGATAATGCCAGCAACGTTGGTCGTTTGTTACGTTTGTTACTTTTCAAGATGCTACCTCAAATTCAATTTTCCATTTTGATAGTTACCAGGTCAAATAAAATTATCCCTGATAGAAGTAACGTACACGTAATGTATCGAAGTGTATTTAAAATTCTGCTGAAGTCACAGGTTCATTCAGTCAAAATGTGATTGTTAACTCTTTTATGGTGACATACATCGCCAACCTAACTTGATACCTTGTCCCATGTTTGTAAACATGATAAGATTTAATCACCATACCGTGCTGTGCTGGGGACTGACTATCGATTACTAGCTCTTCCAGTCAACGTAACTTATGTTTAATTTCCTTTAATATTTTGATTCTAAATGCGATATTTTTAAAACTGGTTTCTTTTCCTTTGCACACTTTTCACAAATTGGAATAAACGTGGATTAAATTATATAATGTTAAGGAGTCGATATATTCCAGAAAGCCAGATTGCGCAAAATACATTCATCGCGAATTGGTTTATTACCTATTTAACCTCTCTACAACTGTTGTAAAGCAACGTTAGCTAAACAGCAGAGATGATTAAGGTGAAAAAGCAACAGTATCAACAGAAGCAACAACAATAACTCAGTATTTTTAATTTAATTTCACCTGAAAGCTGTAGATTAGGATTAGTACAATTCATATGAAAACATGCACGCAGAAACATTTGCAAATTAAGTCACAAATCGAGATTTCGTTCATATTCCACGCAATTATATATTTAATTTCTTTTGTTAAGCGGGTAAATTTATATCAAGAATCATTTCATCCATTCCGCTCCGGTGGTCTAGTGGTTAGAGCGTCCGCCTCGGATGTGGGAGGTCGTGGGTTGGAGACCCAGCCTAGTCCTATCAAAGACTTTTAAAAATTGCTTCAACAACATCATTGCGAGGTTAGTGTTAGGACTGTTCGTCCTGGTGATATAATAATGTGACATTATGGGACATCAAGCTATGTGTCTGAGGCATGATGCTCCTGTGCTAGACATCACTATAATCTGCCTCACTACAGACATCGTAGCGATGTGACTGCAAAAGTGTAAAAGCTAAGTTAAAATCCAAAACACACACACAGACACACAGACACACACACACACACACAAACACTCCATTCATGCCTGTTTACTAACTCGCAATGTTAATTCTCCAGAGAAATAGTGAGGTTAACATTCATGCGAGAGGAAGGATCTATAATTTTGGGGAAGATATTATTTTGCTCTCTGGAGATGTTTAGAGTAGAAACTGAACTTCTATATCATATGATATACAATTAATCGTACACGTATTACTAGCTTTTACTGGAATTATCCATTATAAAATTTATTCTTAATGACAGATTCAAAGTCAAGAAACTGGGTTAAAGATTGATGCAATATATATATATATATATATATATATATATATATATATATATATATATATATATATATATATATATATATATATTTATATATATATATATATATATATATATATATATATATATATATCTATCTATCTATCTATCTATCTATCTATCTATCTATCTATCTATATATATATATATATATATATATATATATATATATAGTTTAATGGCACATCAATGCCATTCTGACTGTATAAACATAAAAAAAGCATTTCTAATTTAAAACTACAACTAGAAAATGCGAAGTTATTTTATTTTACTCTAATTAACTTCTAAGACTTAAATTGAAACATTACCACGTGGCACGAACTATGGCAAAATGTTTTGTTGTTGTTGTTGTTGTTGTTAATGGTGCCTGACGTGAAGCAGGAGATGACACCTATACAATATCTACTAAGCCACAGGGTTATACTGTCAGACTGATGTCGAAACACATGTAGATACATGAACTCGTGTAATCCTCGTATAAAAAATAATCACAGTATACTACCTATAACATCCAATTTATTTGTATATGAATGAAACAAACAGCATGAAATAGAACCACGAAGAAACGGTGCATCGTGACATGTAATAATTTTATGATAAGGATGATATTGCTGATAAACATATATTGTAGGTCTCTTTTTACGATGATTAATTGATACATGTGCTATAAATTAAATTAACAAAAAAAAATTAACTGACAAAAAATGCGTATCAGCAATATGGATATATAATCCATAATTTTAATGATGTATTGCTAAATACTATTTCAGAGGTCGGCAATCTACATTACGCGTACCACACTGGCACCTCAAGAGGTTTTGTGTGGCACACGACAGGTAGTCAAAAATCTCGATTTTAAGTGTTAATTTTGTACTGGTGTCTAGTACGCTATGCTAAAAAGATTGCCGGCCCCTGCGATAGTAAATGCATACTGTAAGATTATCATATAAATGTTTCGTTGAAAACCAAATTTGTTCATGAATGATATTGACACTTTTATTTAATAAGATATTATATAAAATCCTACATTGTATTTTTCTATCTATTTTATGCTTACTTAATAAGGTACAGTTCTGTTTATTTATAAAGTAAACATAAACAAAGTCCTTACAAACATAAAATTCTTTCTCTGTCAAAGCTGGAAATTCTAAAATTTTTTGCCCTATTAACTAAGAGATGACAATCTATGTAAAAACTCGTAATACAAATTCAGTCTTCAGTAGACTGTCACGTGATATCATCAGTTGCTGTCGCTTTGGACGAGACAAAGCACGCTGAACACTTCGGTCATTGAAATAGATCTACCAAAATATTAGATATAAACTTTAGCCATTTAAAATGTCCAAACAGTATTTATAGTTTCTTGTTTTTCATTAATAAACTTTAGAATATGTGATACTAACATTGATTACTACATTTAGAATCGAAAATATACAGCGGGTTCACAAGACACTTAATTATACTACAACTACTATTACTACTTCTTCTAAAAGTTCATTGTTATTATTATTATTATTATTATTATTATTATTATTATTATTCCAAACAGTATTTATTGTTTCTAGATTTTCAGTAATAAACATTAATACTAACTTTGATTACTACATTTCTAAAATTACATTATTGTTATTATTATCATTATTACTATTATTATTATTATTATTGTTATTATTATTATTATTATTATTATTATTATTATTATTATTATTATTATTATTATCAGTAGTAGTAGAGGTAGTAGTAGTAGTAGTAGTAGTAGTAGTAGTAGTAGTAGTAGTAGTAGTAGTAGTAGTAGAAGCAACAACAATATCCGTACTAACAGTAGTAGAAGTATCTTCCACATCATTGATCTTGTAAATCTTATTGTTGCTTTAAGAGAGATTTACTTCCTGGATTCCGCTCGATTACATCACGTGAGTGTTCGAATACTCCAAATCTTACGGGCAGAGGGTAAGATTCCTATTTTCTAAATCTTCATTGAATCTAATATTACTTTGAAGTTTTATTTCATATGATGTTATGTGACTATAATGGTATATTACTTTCTTAATTAGTGTCCATATCTGGTGCACGGACAATCAAGGTAACAAAGAATAAATTTATTGTGTCAAAGTAAATTTTATCCGTTTATATAGCGTTCCTACGGATATTAAGTACTATAACAGAATCATGAAATCAATATAATTATTAAAGGGACCAGTTTATATTTTGGAAGCCTATAAAGAAATTTTGAACACGTAAAGTTGTTTCTTTATTGGTCTTTCTTGCAAAGTCTTTCTCTTGCAAGATATGGAAACTTTCTTGGTGGGAATGAGCGGGGGTGGGTGGGGCATCGGGGCGAAAGAATTGTGCTGCAGCTACCCCAAACCTCCTTTGGTTATATCAGTGGTCTTTGTATCGATACAACACACCGCTCCCTTTTAACCCTATCAATCACATATACAAAAATGAACAAACATATAAGCTCAAACGTGCTCAAACTTGTCCGAGTTGCGTGCTAGAGATACCTATTTGCGTGGTGCTTGTTCGTTAATAAATTCGTTACATGTAAATTTGTATGGTCACCCGTGGCACCCGTGACCAGTTCTTGTCACCCCTTTCTCCCTAGATTGTTCCTCTAAACACGATTTGGCCTACAATTATAGAACGTAATACCTGACCTTCACATGTTTGCTTCCACCACACCACCACCACGAACAAAGATTTCTGGTAATGTGTAATATGTTAGGTGTCATGTTTAGTCAAGTGTTCATGGAATGGAGTAGATGATTGAAATCCTATTGCCATTGTCTTTGAACAGAAGGCCTGATTCTGTTCGTGTAATTAATAGATAATGAGCCAAGTCAGGTGTTTATTTCAACATCATCTATTTAAAGGAAACATTACGGAAAGTATATTAAATTCAGAACAATAGACTTAGACTATTGAGCCACGAAATTAAGCTTAGTTTAAGCTCTCTCCTCGTTAGAACTCATTTTTAACTCAGATGATTTAGTTAATGTACAATAAAGGGAGAGAATTGAAAACGGTGTTTATATTTAATGACGTTTAGCGAATAGTACATAAAATGTTATAATAATACCAAACAATTCTTTTTATTTTTTTTAAGCAGAAACATATTGCTTTCTACATGATGAAAAGAGAAAAATAAATGATCATGCTGGGGGAGTGAGGTAGTTTAATGTCTTTAAACTTCAGCTAAGCTGGAAACTATATGCGATATATAAATATCTTGAAGTAGTGATTGAACAAATATATTTGTTCACTTTGGGATAACTTTTGACGTTTTCCCGTTGCGATTACAAGAAGTTATTGTTAACAACGATGCTCTCTTTTCTTTCTAAAAGTATTTCTCCACTGTTCGTTTCTGATAACAAGGTATTTTGTACAGACTAGGATGTAATGCTTTGCACTTTATTAACATCAATTGCCAAATGACAAGTGGTTTCTGAAAAAGATATCAGTGTCATGACTGACTTTTAAGTCAAGTCCTGTTTGTAAACTCGGCAGGATTCTTATAGGCTTATTTTAATAGACGGGGTTTATTTTACTCGATAATTAATTTTGTGAGATTTCAAGGAGTATAAGGACTGGATGGTTTTGACTTTATAAGTTTATTTTGAGCTTTCTTCTCATGAACATCAATCTTTATTTGATCGTGTGGCTACCTGGTTCAAATATAATTGGATACTAAACTAAAATCCTACATATAGTATTGTAGAATGATCATTTGGAGAAGACACGTGTTAGAGTATACTTAAAATATAATATATGACAATGTTAATGAAGTGGCGAAGGTGAATTGGCGATGAATTGGCTTCCATGCCGCAAATGTGAATGACGAGGTAAGCCGTACTTAGGGAATGGCTGTTGGACATTAATTTTATCACAAAGTTTTCTATTACTCTCCTGCTGAACACATGGGAAAAAACAAAGTCAGCTGGTAAACAGTAATCATTTCATGGAGCAGTAAATTAGACATGCTGTCATGTGTTGTTGAAAATCTTTTTCATTTTATATTTGTTGCAATTATAGTAGAGTTTATTGCCCTTCAAATTGATGTATTATTTATCAGGTTGTATTGATCCAATATAGAAATTTTCAGAATTGAGAAAATATATATATATATATATATATATATATATATATATATATATATATATATATATATATATATATATATATATATATATATATATATAAATATATATATATATATATATATATATATATATATTTGTATTCTGGTCAGAGACATTCTCTTTTGTAAGATTCCTTTTTTCACAATATTTCAGAATTTTTATTTCAAATAATTGTGCACCTGACGTAGGACACTATATTGTTGTGAATTTGTTAAAAGAATGTTGTATCTGTGACACCAATCTTTTAAACAATATTTTGACAGTACACTAACTTCGTGTCTACGGATTCCAAGTGACCGAGTGGTCTAAAGCG